TCACCTTCAATAATATGTCTCCAAGAAATGAATTTTACTGACCAAAAATTAGCAAAATTAAAGGCATTTACAGGTTATCATAAAAACAGACGTGATTTTAAAAAAGCCAGTGGAGGGGTTTTTATTTATGTTAATAACTCATTGGAATCTAGACAAATACCTTTAAAGACCAACCGAGAAGCAGTAGCAGTAACCGTAAAAACTCTTATTAACATCTGTAACATTTATTTTCCACCGAATGCTGATATAAGTAAGTATAAAAGAGATAACTCATATATTATAGAACAAATTCCGTCGCCTAAGATTATAGTAGGAGATCTAAATGGACACAACCCACTTTGGGGATCTAATAGATATAACAAAATAGGACACATAATAGAAACGGTCATTAATAATAACACAAATATTACCCTGGATCTATTACCCTGTATTAACAATGGATCTCCAACAAGATTTAATTCTTTTACTGGAAACACTAGTTGTATTGACTTATCTCTTGTTGACCGTTCTTTAGTAGAAAACATAACTTGGGAAGCTAGTACACAATTGTATGGAAGCGATCATTTTCCCATAGTGACATATTTCGAAAACGAACAAAAAATTTAACCATACACTAGATGGAATACAGAAATAGAGGATTGGTCACCGTTTACACAATTTGTGGAGAATCAATTGAATTCTTTTTCAGATCCATCTCCGCATGACAATATAAACAACTTAGTAAATAAATTTTCCGCATACTGTCCTACTTTCCGCAGCAGACCATATCATGAGAAAAAAGAAAATAGTGAGAAATCGTATTGGAGTACCATGGTGGAATAGTCACTGTCAGGATGCTATAAATAAGACTCACAGAGCATTCAATAAATACAAAAAACAAAAAACACAAGAAAATCTCCTAGAATTTAAGAAGTTAAGGGCTATTAGTAGAAAAGTGGTAAAAGAAGCAAAAAAGAAATCTTGGATAAAGTTTTTATCAACAATAAACAGTTCTACCCCAGCAGCAATAGTGTGGAAACAAATTAACAAAATTTCGGGACGCCACACAAACTCATCACTAAGATTTTTAGAATATAATAACAAAGTTCATACATCTAGATCTGAAATAGCCAATGTATTAGCTTCATCCTACGAGTCATATTTAAGTAACGAAAATTTTTCTCAAGAGTTTTTACACTTTAAAACCAAAGAAGAATTACAAGAATTTAATTATAATAAAAGCGATAACCTACCAATACTAGAGGAAGAGCTAACTGAATCTATAAATTCTATTAAAAACTCTGGTCCTGGTCCAGATGATATTCCTATTATTTTTCTTAAAAATTTGCCGAAAAATGGATTTGCCTATTTACCAAAGATATATAACAAAATATGGCTTGAAGGAATGTTTCCATATACTTGAAATAATGTTTATACAATACATATCCTTAAACCTGGTAAACCACGTTCAGATCCAAACTCCTACCGTCCAGTATCATTAGAATGTGCAATGAGCAAAGTGCTCGAAAAATTAATTAACCAACGTCTTATTTGGATACTCGAGCAAAGATCTGTTTTATCTAACAAACAAAGTGGATTTCGGAAAGATAGATCAATTTTAGACAACTTAGTTGACCGAGTCTGAAATACATGAAGCGCTATCAAAAAATCAAAGCTTTATAGTGGTATTTTTTGATATAACGAGAGCATTTGATACAGTTCAGTGCCATGGAATAATTAAAACTTTACAGAAATTAGGTAGGTATATAAGGAAATATGCTAAACTTCATCAATAACTTTTTGAATACTAAAACAAGAATACAGGAAAATGGAACTCCTCAAGGATCATCGATTAGTGTTACTCTTTTTCTTATTGCTATTAACAGTATTTCTCTAAAACGATTCTCCACCGGTAAAAAGTAGGCTATACGCAGATGATCTCATAATTTATTGTAAAGAAAGAGACATAAAACTAATTAAACAATCCTTACAAGATACTATTTCTGCATTAGAAAAATGGTCAATGAAATCTGGAATGAAATTTTGTTCCAACAAAAGTAAATGTGTCCATTTCACCAGAAAACGCAATGTTGGTAGTCCAGAACTTACAATCTTTAATACGAAAATAGAATATGTTGATTGTATCAAATTCCTTGGAATTAATTTTGACAAAAATTTAAATTTTAAGCAACATATTTATTATCTTAAAACATCTTGTCAACAATATTTGAACATAATGAAAGTCCTATCTACTAAAAATTATTAGATCTAAAGTCGATTAAGGTTCAATAGTGTATGGGTCTACCAGCCAATCACTTTTGAAAGAGTTGCAAACAATCCAGAATGGAGCTGTAAGAATAGCCTTAGGAGCTTTTTGTACCACACCTACAGATAGCTTACTATATTTAGTAGGAGAAATGCCTCTGGAATTAAGAAGACAATATCTTTGCCTAGCATATTTATGCTGCAAACATTTCAGCAAATAGTGAAAATCCCATCAGAAAAAATGTCTTTGCTTCTCGTTTCCACACAACATATCTTAACAAAAAAAGATCTAAACCCCCTTTTATATGAAAGACTTAATAGATACATGATCAGAAATAATATTGTCTTTCCTAAAATATATCAAACCACCCTTTTAACCCTCCTCCTTGGATGGTCAGAAAACCCTTCCCCTGGACTTGAGTTTAACAAAGACTAGTAATCAACTTAATGCTTCCTCTATGGTTAATCAATTTTACAGTAACATTGATGAGTACCAGAAATACCAACATATTTATACTGATGTCTCCAAATCAGAAAAAGGAGTGGGATGTGCCTTCATACACAACGACTATACTGCTTCATGCAAAATCTCAAATTTGAGCACAGTATATACAGGAGAACTATTTGAAATCTACAAAACATTAGAATATGCACTGGACGCCAACTTAGACAGGTGTCTAATAATAACAGATTCCTTAAGTTCCATGAGTAGCTTAGGCACCATTTACCCAACTCATCCATTGTTGCGATTGATAAAGAACCATTTGTACCAACTTCAGCTAAAGAATGCGATTGTAAAATGTATGTGGATTCCGTCACATATAGGTATACAAGGTAAAGAAAGAGTAGATGCTGCCGCCAAATCTTCAGTTAACAACGAAGACTTGATAGAATCTACCTATAAGAAAAAATTTCATCACTGAATTAACTCGACATTGAAAGAACGGTGGCTTCAAGAATGGAATCAATCTCAACAAAAACTACGAGACAAAAAAAAATTGTTACAAGATGGAAGAATATGGAATAAGGAAAGACCAAATTATAATAAACAGACTGAGATTAGGACATATACGCTTAACACACGAATACCTTATTACTGGAAGTGTTCAACCAATGTGCGGTAAGTGTTTCAACAGTTTAAGTATCAAACATTGTTTAGTTGAATGCCCTGCATATTCAAACGAGAGGCAAAAGTGTAACCTACTGACAACGCTACGCGAGTGTTTAGAAGAAAACTGTGTCTATTTGTCTGTTTTAAGTTTTCTAAAATCAATAGGAATATACACCCAAATTTAACATGTGTGTACAAATAAATGTTTAATCTTCTATTAACCAATGTACTTCAACTCAGACTTATTTATATAAAACTCTATTTCATGTCTATGTCTATGTTTAATATATGTCTAAAAAAATGTAAAACAAAATTGTAATACCAAGCGGCGCTAATAACCACTTAGGTTGATGCGCTTTAATTCTAAATAAAAAAAAATTGACACCTGTGGACACAATTACGAAGAAAAATGCAGAAACTGAAGAAAACAAGCAAGAAAACAGAAAAAATTAAAATTTCGAAAGCTGTCAAATTAAACATAAACATTGAGAATGATGAAAACCAAAGAGGGGAGATAGATGAAGCAAATAAAAAAGACAATGAAATTTTAGACAAAAATGTTGGTTCTGGCAGCAAAACAGGTGAAAGAACTAGAGAGCAAAAAACTTACAATTCTAGGGATTTAGAGGTGAGCGACTACGAGCTAGTTCACTACGTCATTGTAGTTTGCGAGGAAAAACATTTGCCAGGAGTACTAGAAGAAATAACAGATACATTTACAATCAAAACTATGAAAAAATAGGATATCGTTATAGATGGCCAGAGACAGATTATATTATTTGGTATGATCCAGAGGAAATTGTTTAATTGCAGCACCACCTCAGTACTTTATTAAAATGGGTCTTTTTACCTGAGATAAATAATTTGTAGGTCTTTCATAGATGTATGCTCTCATGCAATAAATGAAACAAAAAATACTGTTGCTAAGTAACTTATGAAAGTATTTTTTGTTGTTTTTTTTAGGTTAAAAATGTATTACATATGTACATATTTTTATTTTATTTAGTTTTCTACGCCTTTTCTATATAAAAATTATATTTTTATGCTTCTGTATTTTTTATACCTACTTTGTAAATATTAAAATACATACTTACAAAAAATGGTGTGTATAGTTTAAAACAAACCAAAAGGATAATACTTTTTTCAACATATGCCGGAATTAAAGTTTTCTGCATTTTAGTCAAAACCATTTTTTTGAAAATAAAAACACATTTTTCATCTTTTTATTAACTATTTTGATAGGCAATGAAGTTATTAAATATACTTCCATTTTCTCAATTAAAACTGGCATTGGATACAAAAAATTCTTAAAGCGCCTTGAAAATACATTGTGATAGAAGACTGAAGAGCACAAAATCCTTTGAATTAGTTTAAATATCAGAGCATAATTGCATGTTAACATTCGTGCGTTAATTTTTAGATTAGATAAGCAAACAAACACCATATAGTAAGCTTTAGATATTGGGTAACTTCAATAATTAATTTAATAATTTAAGCTTGTTTAAAATTGCTTACTAGTCATCTATGTTCCATATGATATACATTATTGTTATATGATATACATTAACTATCTTCTCGTAGTAGCTATGCAACCAGTTTTACTAGGTAATATAAATTTAAATAATTATTCTGCCAAATTGCTTACCTTCAAAATCTCAAATTTACGACCAGTCAGGAGAAAGCACTCAACAAATATGCACTGGTTGCGTGTAGGCACAATTTTAATCTCTACATAATATGTGGTTCCAGTAGCGTAAGGTAAATAGGTTACAAGGTCTGCTGCCCACTAACAAAATACACACAAACAAGATAAGGGTTGTAAACAATATTTTTATTAGAATAATAGTCCCATACATTGAGAAAACAAAGGTTTGTTTACAGGGTCCGGCAGACTCTATCATAGTGCTATTACTCTTATTATGTAAAACTTACTTATGAGATTTTTTGAGAGTTATTTATATTGGTGGTCAAAATATTATTTATGTCGTAAAATTATTTTCATATCTACAGGGTAGCCCAAAGTTTAATTTAACAACTTTTTTTTAAATAAAATAACCAATTTTTACTGCCACTCATAGCTCTTGTTTTTCGATCATTTAGTATATCGTCCTTCCATTGTATAATTTTAATAGTTCATGATGTGGCCAAAATACTTCGCTCGTTATTTTCGCTAACAAAAATATTTTAAAAGTTTCATATGCAATCCATGCATGATATTCTAAGCATCCTGTATGTCCTACGGTTGGATTATCCTTCATATTGCCTGGAGTTCCAGGATGGTTTCCAACCGTCACTCTTGAGGAGGAAAAAAGGTTCTTCGATTCCATCCTCTAGTTACTCTGGAAGTTATATGTCCTCAACTTACACTTGGCGAGAGGTTCACCCGATGCTCTCTTGTCAACAAGGCGCTACTGACAATGTAGAATACTTTTACAATTTCTTACACTTGAATATATATATATATATATATATATATATATATATATATATATATATATATATATATATATAACACTGTTTTTGATGGGTTGGAGTCAATAAAAGGGGCTATTTGTTGACTATTTTTTACTCGAGCTTTCAATTGTGATTACAATTTTTATCAAGAGCTTCTAAAAAATACAAAATGTCTTACAAAGTTGAACTAGAAATAAAAAATTTTTTGTTAACTCACCAAATAAAATTAGTTTTTTATATAAAACTACTGCTTACATAATAAATACAAAAAATATTAATAAAAAAATGTCTTATTCTAACAAATGTTTCTCTGAAAAATTTAGATGAAGTTTCTTAAGAAAAAAAAATTGAAATTATAAACAAATATAGAATAGCTACAACCAGCCTAAAACGTCATAAATACTAACTTAAAAATTTTTATTTTTGACATATTGTCAAAAATAAAATTTTGTTTAAAAAATTTTTCTTTGTTTAGTAACAAAAAAGAAAAAGATTTATTCACCATTGATAGATGCCCGGAAAAATGTAACAAATACATGGAAAATTCAAAATGTGATATTTTACTGACTGCATAAATTAAATAGAAATTATATAATTATAAATTTTGCTTAAATTTTGAATTTCTGACCTTTTGTTTAAATTATTATCACTTTTGCTAATACAAACCATTTCCAAAAAAGTTCTTTTAAATTTATTACTTTCATTACATAAAATTTTAATATTATCAAAATCCATAATATGGTCTTTGTCTATTACATGCTCTGCCAAAGCACAAGATGGTTTCTTAATTCTACAATCACTCTTGTGAGAAATAATGCGATTAGAGAGATTTCTTCCAGTCTCACCAATATACTCAGCTTCACACTGAGTACAAACAATGCTGTATACTACATTTGTTTGATCTAATTTGTCTATAGGATATTTAGTTTTGGAATATAAAGATGAAATAGTTTTGATGTTCTTTGTTGCTATTTTTATATTGTCAATAACCTTTAATGTTTGTATTAATTTAGGAGTTAATGATGGTATAAAAGGTAGTGAATGATAATATATGTTTTGATTGTTGGATACAGTGTTTTGAGATTTAGCAAAAAATGGTGTTAAGTTATTTATATTTAATAAATTAGAAAAAAGCATCCTATGTAGCATATCAGGAGGATAAGAGTTTTCAATTAAAATATTTTTTAACAAATGAAGATCTTCTTGTAGGTAGTCTGGATGAGAAAGTTTTAAAACACGTTCCTTTAATCCTGTTATAAGGTTCATTTTCATTTTATTTGGATGATTAGAGTAATAGCTTATAAATCTATTACTACATATGGGTTTTCTGAACCATCTAGTTTTCAACATATTTTAATTGAAAACTCTTATCCTCCTGATATGCTACATAGGATGCTTTTTTCTAATTTATTAAATATAAATAACTTAACACCATTTTTTGCTAAATCTCAAAACACTGTATCCAACAATCAAAACATATATTATCATTCACTACCTTTTATACCATCATTAACTCCTAAATTAATACAAACATTAAAGGTTATTGACAATATAAAAATAGCAACAAAGAACATCAAAACTATTTCATCTTTATATTCCAAAACTAAATATCCTATAGACAAATTAGATCAAACAAATGTAGTATACAGCATTGTTTGTACTCAGTGTGAAGCTGAGTATATTGGTGAGACTGGAAGAAATCTCTCTAATCGCATTATTTCTCACAAGAGTGATTGTAGAATTAAGAAACCATCTTGTGCTTTGGCAGAGCATGTAATAGACAAAGACCATATTATGGATTTTGATAATATTAAAATTTTATGTAATGAAAGTAATAAATTTAAAAGAACTTTTTTGGAAATGGTTTGTATTAGCAAAAGTGATAATAATTTAAACAAAAGGTCAGAAATTCAAAATTTAAGCAAAATTTATAATTATATAATTTCTATTTAATTTATGCAGTCAGTAAAATATCACATTTTGAATTTTCCATGTATTTGTTACATTTTTCCGGGCATCTATCAATGGTGAATAAATCTTCTTCTTTTTTGTTACTAAACAAAGAAAAATTTTTTAAACAAAATTTTATTTTTGACAATATGTCAAAAATAAAAATTTTTAAGTTAGTATTTATGACGTTTTAGGCTGGTTGTAGCTATTCTATATTTGTTTATAATTTCAATTTTTTTTTCTTAAGAAACTTCATCTAAATTTTTCAGAGAAACATTTGTTAGAATAAGACATTTTTTTATTAATATTTTTTGTATTTATTATGTAAGCAGTAGTTTTATATAAAAAACTAATTTTATTTGGTGAGTTAACAAAAAATTTTTTATTTCTAGTTCAACTTTGTAAGACATTTTGTATTTTTTAGAAGCTCTTGATAAAAATTGTAATCACAATTGAAAGCTCGAGTAAAAAATAGTCAACAAATAGCCCCTTTTATTGACTCCAACCCATCAAAAACAGTGTTATATTTTTTCCAAACGAGTCACAAGTACTTCTTTTTTCTTACTCTTATATATATATATATATATATATATATTTATATATATTTGCTTTACATGAAATATTTGCCAGTGTTATTTGCACAGTAGACACCTCGAATACCAACAGAGATACCGGCTCCTCAAGCCTCAGCGTATAACCGAGTTTACACTCCTCGATGTATAAGACTTCCGGCAGAGTGTTGACTCTTCAACTAGCCCTGGATTGCGGAATAATAAATTATAAGTCCCTTCTAGACCTTTGTTTATTCTCGTCATCACGCTCGATAGCGAAGAGCTGACTTCGTACCGCCACCTCTCGTGAAGTATTTCTAAGTCCCATTAAGACCTTTATTTATTTCCAACAAATGGCTTGACGACGAAGTGCTGCTTCAGCTCGTCCACTGATTGAGAAGTAATTTTAAGTCCCCTCGGGCTTCTAATTACTCCTAACTCTCGGTGGTCTATCAAAACACTGTGGTAGTTCGACACGATCTGAAATAGTTTTAAGTCGATCTGACTTTTGTCTATTTCAAAAATTTAATATCTCTCTGCCAGTGAGTGTTCTCTAAGAGCTGTTTGATGGTTTTTGTAAGATTATTACAAGTTCGTCTCCAGACTTTTCCTTATCTCAACACAAGATAGTCAAACCGTCCCAAACATCAGTTTCCTACACTTTTTATTGTTTGATAATATCGAAGTCGTGAGATCTCGTGCTTATCCCAACACTTAAAGAGCTGTAGAACTTTCTTTTCGTAGTTCCATGAGGTTTGGTATAAGTGAGGAATAAAACCGCGGAATTTGGGATACTTGGGCCAGACGGTCAAAGTCTAATTTTGGCGCCAATGTCGATAAGCGTTGAGTCTGCATTACTGGTCTAGTCTTAGTCAAAACATGAACCTTAGTCAAGATCGAAACGATTTGTCAACTGGCAGCTGACGTATAATAGGTGTGTGGGTAAATATATTGATATACAGGGTGTAGTCAGAAAATACTTTTTTGACATTTTTAGCTTGGTGAGGGTAAAATAAATTGTCGCAGCGGAACGTATAAAACGTTGTTGGAAAGGAGAGTGTATAGAAAATATATTAAGATTCAGAAAAAACAAAACCAAGCGGCATTGTTAAAAGGGTATTACATCATATATCTATTCTTATTGGTCTAACTGGAGTTTGTAAACCTTTAAATTAAAGGAAAGGATATAGTCAATGTATGTAAGTCGAAAAAACGAACAAGGTGACTATCAAAAGAGCACTACACAGGATCTTTGGTAATAATAAACGTATAGCGACTGTTTAAATTCAAAATATGGTTGTGTAAATTAATTAATACAGTTGTCCTCCCTGTAACCCTACGATTTTTATATGCTCTCGGGACCAAGATGCACACATATTAAATTTATACATTTTTTTGATTGTTTATTGCAGACATTTAAAAGTTGATGATTATTTGCACCTATGAGCTTCGAGGTTTCTTAAAGTAGGCTACTCAGACAAAATAGGTTGGCTGCTTGTCAGCAGCGATCTTCCGTCGGAAGACTAACACAATCGCAGGTAAAAAGAACCCTTGTAGTTTGCCGACCAAAATGTAAATCTTGGCTATTATTCATCCACTCTGGCGACATGCAATAAAACCAATCTCGCATGCTTACGGTTTTTTGTACTTGGTTTAGACAGGAACCACGCATATAAAATATTTAATGGAACCAGCATTCAATCCAGTTTTTAAGTTACCCATTTACTTTGAATATGTAAAT